TCTTTTTAAATAAGTACATTTAAATTTATCAAACAAACCAATTGAAATGTTAAATAATAGGTATAAATGTAGAACTGTATCAGAAGAAAATCCCCACCATTTCTTTTTTTCCTGTAAGTGTTCTTGATATATAAACTTTTCTGCTATATTTTAAAATTTTTGGCTAATGAAAATTGATGAAAGACATAATGGGCATTGTATTATATTGATTTAGACTGGTAAAGATTAAAAGTTTGAGCAACACTGCTATATAAAAAGCAATAAACTACTTTGTTCTCAGAGGTAAATTTTTGAAGCAGGGGGAAAAAAAGTTGTATGTGTAATGCTTGTCTGTCTGTGTGAGTTCTTTCTGCATATTTTGGGTTTTATGGGTGAGGAAAGAGTCAGACCAAAGCTTATGTCAGCTGTATATAGAAAATGCAAATCGAAAGTCAGAAACGTATATTCGTGTGCTTCTTTTTGGTGAGTTTTTCCTTCTCTTCGGTAGTCTCATAGTTTTTACTTCTTGCCAGCTGTGAAGTTGCACCATGGAGGACCTCTTCTAAATCTCAGGGAATGACTCTAAGGTAGCTTAAGGCAAGCAACAATCTGTGTTTGATGGAAACTAAAATTGCTTTAAAAATACTTTGGATAGTCCTTCCAGATTTTTTTCACTACTTGGATTAATTAAGAATCTAAAATTTCAAATGATGTTATTTTTCCAGATATTAGTAATGATTTTTCAATAACTGTTTTTGTTTTTTTTTAATACATTTCAGTACATTTCAGATAACTTTGTTCAGTTACAAATAGTTCTGAATCAGTTAATTAAAATTATATCTGGGCAAACCACAGCACTTAATTTTGGTGACCCTACAAATAATGCACAACATAAGCACTTCTTTGGAATTTATGTAGAGGAGGCAGTACACTGCACAATTCTTTTCGTAACCAGAGCTAGCTAATTACAGTGCACTGTATTTGTGCTGTCACTAAATGGCTTCACAGTGTGTAGCCACATCAGTTCTGTTCTTGAATTTGGCAACTTCAATTACAGCTGATAAAAGATGACTTGTTCAGAAATTCTGAACTATGGGAAGTATGCTATTAAATTCTCCAGGGATCCTGTTTTCATTCAAAACTGTGTTCTTTGGTATCCAAAATATGAGTTTTCAACAAACTGAATAGAAAATGTCAATTATTAAGCAGAGTGGCCTACAGGTTTACATAGGAACTGCTTTATTTCACAGAAAAAATTTAAGATTCCATGAAGGCATTTCAACAACATAAGACACATTTTCTTACTTTGATTTCTGAGCGTAGGTAAGAATTCTACTTCTTGTGAGATGTATGAGTATGATGTTCTTATAAGTAGCATCCATTAAAATAAGGCAGATAGGATAGCATTGATGTATATTACTGAAAGGATTTTAAAAATGAGCTTTAGATTTGTACCAGATGGCAGAAAATAGTTATGTCTAGCAGAGCACCTCTAAGATCTAACTCTGGAGATGGGATTTAGACCAACATTGCATGGAATTTTTTATTAGTGTCTGCAAAGTATGTTAATGCCTAGGAAACAGATACTAGAAGTCCAGAAAGCAATAGGCAATCCTTTTGTCAGAGTTTACAATTAAGATGATAAAAAACAAAAGTGAAAGAAACATAGTATCTGGGAACAAATAATGTTAAGGTAAGATTTTACATTTTTCCTTCAACTATTGTGTTTTTCAGGGAAGTAGAAATTGCTGTGTGAAGGATTACAGTTTAACTTACGGGAAATAGGAGAGCAGAATGAGGTAGACAAGGGAGGGTAAGTGTGGAGGAATAAAACCAAAAGCAATGGATTGTGAGGGCAAAGGAAGAAAGATTTGAGACTGGTGATGAATCAGTTGAATGTGCCACTTAGAACCCAGACAAAATGCTTGTCAGTTGCTTGGGCTGCCTCAGCATGCTGCTTCAGCCTCTCACTGTCTCTTTTTGGTGTTCTTTGCATGGTTGCAAGATGAGGGAGAAATATTTTAAGGAAGAGTACTGAAAGTAACGGTACAGCTTGCTTTGACTCTTGTCATTTGCATTGATGTTTGTGACACACTGTGTAAAAGGTACTGTATAATAAGAGGTTGCTAGGCAAAGTCATCCTTTATTAGTTTCTAATAACGAAATCCTATGAATCTAGTATAAAAAGGAAGTGAAGACTACAGAATTTCTGATGATTGATAAAGTGACTTTGGGTCTGAGTAGATTACTGGCAGTAGGTCACATTGAACCTTGGTTATTCTGTGATTCTAAGAATCAGCTCTAAATCCAAGCAGTGTTACCATAACTAGTGCGGTACTGAAGTATGTTAAACACAGAGCTGGCTTTAGCCATGGAGCTAACAGAGCTTCTGAGCTGACTTCACCATCTGATCTTCAAAAGCGGAAAAATAATTCAAATAATCTGGATGTTAAAAAAAAATAATAATTAAAAGAGAACATAAACATAATAAAAGGTTTTTACTTCTTCGTCACTTGATAGAAATTCTGTTACTTTTGTTGTAGACTAGAGAGAATAATACAACTGCAGATATACAAGAATATCAATGTACAGTAAGAAAATGTATTTTAATATCATTTGGGGAAAAACAAGCTGTGTTGTAGGATGGGATTACTTAATAGCTGATTTAATAATACCCTAAAGTATCTACAATATTATAACAGAAGTTACTTATTATTAAACTTTAGAAAAACACAGAATTGGATATTAATCACTTCTACTTTATGCATTCATTTATGTGAATTATGATTCTTAGACTTCAAAAGATAGTCTCCACATTGTTTTGTCTAATTTATTCAGACTTAATTAGAGAATCTGTTCTCCAAATCTTTACATTTCTATTATTCTTGAGCAACCATGGAAGTGATGGGTGAGATGTGAAAAAAACCCAAAGCAAAAGTTGAAAATACAATGCAGAAACTTCAAATTGAATATAGAATGAAGATATTTTTAAGTATACTTTTTAATATGCAATTTTAAAATAACCATACGTTAAGCAAAATGTATACACTACTTGGAATGATCTGGCCTAATCAGTAGCTTTTCTTAGGTTACTAGAGCTGAGAAATTGAACTGACTGATGACAGTTTAATAAAGTTGGAATGGCAATTAGTGTTAAAATGATGTATGCCTGAAAGTTGTCTTCAGGTGAATGTCCAAATTCTACTTACAGCATTAAAAAGAAAAAAAAAAAAAAAGAATTGAAAGAAGTAATTTTTTTCCTCCTGCAGCTTTTTGGACCTGCGAGCAATCTGCCTTTACACATAGCTGCAAACTTCTCTTATGGGTTTCTGCCTCTCGCGGTATGTTCTTTGCTCTGTTCTTTCTGACTGCTATAAAGCTCACCTGGACCTTCCTGTCTTCTGTAGGAATCTTGCAGAAAATAAAGTAGTGTAATACAAGCTTGGCTCATTTGCTACTGAGGAGAGGAAAATCTCCAACTTCTGTTAAAGTGCTGCTTTCCCTAGAAAGACAGAATTACATGAGGGGTGGGGGAGATATAAAGCTGGTTGATAGGCTCTGAGAGGCAATGTCTTTATAAAGAAAAGGTAGATCAGATTCTGGATGGGTTAAAGAATATGTAGAAAATTGAAACAACCAGAAAAATTTCCTCTTCCTCCTTGCATGTGCTGAGTTAGTATTGATACATCCTGTTAAGCATGTTACTAGATGTAGGAATACATTGTGTTTCAGGGCCATTTCATCAGCTTAATCTCCTGATAAGCTTTCTAACATCTGTTCTCAACTTGACATATATTTTCTATTCTGTGCCATCCTTGAGGCAAAATTTTCTTCTCCAGTCCTCACTACAACTCTATTATCTACACTACAGATCTTTTTTTATGAATTTATATTCATTTTTCTGACTGAACATCTATTGACATGAAGTTTTGCTTGCCAGCCAAGCACAGAAGACATTGAATGATTCCTCATATTGTCAATTCAGTCTGAGAAATGAGGAGCTCCTTATTGGTATTTTATTTTATTTTTTAATTTTTACCTTCGCAATATTTTCAGCTGGCTACATGTTCATTTTTTAATAGGCAAATTAACAAGCACAAACACTTCACGTGCACTACTATCATCTATGAATGATTGTACCTTACCAGAACACAGCAAGCCTCTATTTAGAAAGTAAAATGCTCTAAATAAATTCAAATTTAAATATTTCTATTACTTGTGGGGAGTCATCTTACTACTTCAATTTGTAAAACATACCTTCATACAAGCATTGCTGATTGGAATACAAATTTCATTTACAAATTTTGTAGTGAATGAAATATATCATAGATAATCATATCTTTGTTTTTGGTAGGAATTTTTAGTCTCCTATATGTTTATGGGTTATACATATTCTTTATTGTGTTATTAACTGTGATCCTAAAAAGAAATTAAATATGGTTTGTTTGTACAGAGTAAGATTTTTTATATATTATTTTTTTTTCTAAAGTACTCCAAAGGAGGAACCTGGAAAACTGCTTGAAACTGAAAGATAACATATTTTAAAGAGAATTCTATTGTAGGTCGGGTCTGCTTTGTGTAACTGTGGGTATGCCTGAGAAGTGGCAATTGTCTTAACCATTTTATTATAATTATTTTAAAGATGTCTCTGGGGTTGTTAATGTTTTTGTTTTCCTGTCTGGTCTGGATTGGCTTGGTTTGTGGGTTTTTTGCGGTTGTTTTTTTGTTTTGTTTTGTCTTTGTTTTGTTTTTAAAGAAGGAAGCTCTTTGGATTAGGAAATACTCAGGATACATGACGTTAGTAACATTAATAATGGCTTTAAGTCAAACTACCTACTCATGATTTTTGATGCGCGTAATCATCGTGAACATAGCATTAATGAGTATCAAGGCCACATTTTCTAGGGCATACAAAAAAGTGGATGGCATTCATCTCCCAGGGAACCCATTTCTATTTTTAATTTACTAGCTAATATGTATTGTAAAAAAATACATCATTTCTTTTTCTTTTTTTTTCCCAGATTATGCCTAAACTTCTATGTCTCTTCAGCACTCCAGAGAGTTCTACCACTATGTGTAAAGCCTGAAGAAAGTACAGTAAGACATTCTTATAATGATTAATTTATAATTTATAATATTTAAAATATATACATTTTTTCAGTATTTGTGTTGAGATATTAGTCAATTTTCTGTTACCATACCTGATTTGAGTCTGATCCAATTGCCAATGAAGACATTAAAGTAATCTAGAGACATTTTACAGGCCTTCAGCTAGAATCCTGATGTGTGTGTCAGAGTATCACAATAAAAATAGGATACTACTATTTCATAAAATATGTATATATACATAGATACACATGCGTGTGTATGGTGAATTTTAGACTTGTAATCTGTTGCCAATGGTAAATTGTTAGAAATGTATGAGCAAGCACTACCTCCAAAGAATTCCAGTTCCTGAGATGCATTTTCTCACTGTCCCCATGCCTCTACCTCTCTTCAGGCTATGGTTACCATTGATGAACTTGTTCAAAAGCCGTTCCCAATTTAACCAGCCTTTTGGTAAAGATATTTTTTTTTCATTTAACAATAATGTCGTTTCACATAACATCATGTTGTTTTAAATTCCACAATGACAAGGAGATAGTTCTGTTTCAGACTACTTTCTGTGCCAACATCAAAAAGTCAGTACCTTGGCATTTAATTTTGTACTTAAAATTTTAACAGCTGTATCCCACATAATAGCAAAACAAGTACATTAACATAAAATGTACAAAAAAAACCCAACAACCTTAATAATTCTAGTAAAAATGTTACAAAACAAAATATATTAGATTTCAATTACTTTTTTAGATATCCTCCTCAGTATTCTCCTGAATTAGTTTATTTGTTGGTCATCATTGCCTTGCCATCATCTTTAGACACTTTTGCTCTGAGTCTTCCATTAGAAGATTGTATATCGCTTTTAAACTTCATTGTACATAAAGACCAATGTGTATGGGGTAGGGAGAAGGAAGGGAAAAAAATGGTGTGCTTTTCAGACCGTTAATGCTTGGAGTCTTGGATTTTCTCCTTGACATTTTCCATGTTTTTTTGTTTTGTCACTTGGCTGTAAATAACATACTTTCCTGGCCACTTAGAAAGGTAATGTTCTCCTCGCTTGTCTTGTTCAATAGAGTTATCATTGAACGGAGCATTCCTGGCAGCCTATTGAAGAGCTTTAAATTGAAACATCCTTTTAGTGTGGAGTAGTAATCAAAATGCTTGTGTGTTATATGGGAAAGGAGAAGTAACCATTTTTCAAGTTTATGGCACAGAGCTTTTCCCATTGTTGTAAGAGTTCCATCATTAAAGAAGCCACCTTAAATTGCCACATAGGTCCCAAAGCAGTTCTAAAAAATGTTTACTTTAGGAGAGCAGTCTTTGGATCAGTTGTAATTGTAATTGTATTCTGGTGTCGTTAGTTTTCTGTGTGGCTTTCGTCTCTGTGTTCTTCATCATCCAGAAAGTACGTTCCATTTGAAGCATTTACTCCTAAGTCCCAGAGTGAAATATGTTATATGATTTTCTCTATCCTCTCCAGCAAGTATGTGTTGTTAGAGCTCCTTGTTTTCTTCTCAGCAAATATATGTTTTGTTCAATTTAAAAAAACTGTAACACTGGCGGTACATATGTTTCAGTAATGTTGTGTTATATGTGCATGATATGTCATGATAACAAACTATAAATTATATTAAGTTCTGCCTTTACAATATGAAGTGTCTTACAAGAAAAAACTGATGCTTATGTTCTTTGGACAGAATTTTCAGGGATTTAAAAATATATGATCTAGAAATAAAGAATAACACAACAAGACTTCTCTTGTATTTACTTACCAGATGATTTTTCTGGTCACGGATCATGTATTTTAGGACTTTACCAATTGCTGATTTTGCCAGATTGTCTGATTGGAAATATTTCACATAAGTGATTTCCTTTTTTTTTTTTTTTTTTTAGCTTATAAATTCTCTTAATTGTTCATCTAGCTACTTATGATTTCAAATGGATTGCCAGGGTCCCAGGGCTTCTTGGGATTGTTGTGTATTTGGGTTTGCTTGCTATGAGCTTTCCATAAGCTGTATTTTCTAGACTAGATCTCCAGGCTGGTTAAACCAATTGGCATCTGATCTCCAGATTTCTTGACTGTGAGAGATCTCTAACAAGCGGTGATCGTCTGCACCTGCCACAACTTCTGAAATTGAATTCTATAGTCAGAATATGGATATTTCATTCTAGAAATGTCATATTTCTGCAAAGTACAGATTTAAAAGTTTTTGTGTTTTTTTCCCTATTCATACTTCAGTTTCTGAAAAAAAATTATTTTCAAGAAAAATAGAAATTGCATTTCTTAATTACCTGTCAGTGTCTATGTTCCACCAATCGTACACCTGGCAAAATAAAATGTTAGTGTAACAACATTATACTTGTCTTTATAATTTAATGGCAGAGTGTTGTCATTGAGTTCCTTTCATGCACATTATGATTACACACTGTTCTGCAGCAAAATCTATGTTTCCTTAATTAGTTCCTGATTGTTTCCGCCCTTAGAAAATTCAGCTCTTTCTCCTGCATAACTACTAGCAGTTTTCTTCCAAACCGTCAGTTTCCACGTTTCTTGACCAACCAACATTTTGGCTTTTTTTTTTTTTTTTGCAGTTTGACTGATCACTTTCTTTTTTGTTAACTTATAATTCAACTAGGTTTCTCCTTGATGATGCTAGAAGGCCAATAGAGTGCAAGAAGACAGAAGACCTCTGCTTTTAATTTTAATATGTCCTCTAACAGCAGTTACTGAAATCCTTTCTCACACTTACTATTGAAGAACAGGACATGCTTACTCACTTTAAGGTATTTTGCAGTTGAGTTGCAAATAAAATTTAATTCCTGCTTTTCAGTGGAGGTACAATGCCAGTAAATTTGGTCAGCAGAATCAAACAGTTTGAGCCACAAACAGCTCCAGCTCAGTCACTGAGAGCAGATTCCTTTCCTTGTTAATCTCTTGAATGCCTGCTTACATGTGTGGGAAGTGTGGAAATGGTAGCAGGCTTCAAAACAAAAAGTCTGGGAACTAGTTTACATGTGCAAACTTCTTCTCTCCCACTGGCAGTGTCAGAAATGGCTGAGCTGATCAGGATGAAAGCATCAAAAAAGCAAAAAAAAAAAAAAGAAAGAAAAAAAAAAGCTCAAGCCAAGTGAAAGAAAGACTCATAGAAGATGTCAACATAAATGGGTAAAGTTTGAGCCAGAAAAAGCAGGGTGTTAAAATAAGAGCGATGCTGCAGTGTTAGTATTCTGTGCTACCTGTAACTCCCTGAATAACAGCACCAAATAATCATGATAGTATTTTGTGTATTTTAAGTACCAGTGAGAATAAAGCTTTCTGCTATAATTTCTATTAATTCACACGAGTTTTCATAACCTAGCTATAGAACAAGTGAGGAGGAATTGCTCAGCTCCTTTCCTTTATTATGAGCTATGTTGTTTTGCTGGAGCTCAGAAGAGGTTTAAGAATTATATCATCAGAGAAGAAAATCAATTTTATTGGTTGATTTATTTTTCTTTTATACTTCACCTTTTAGGAGGCAATTATCTCTACTGCATAATTTCATATTTTTAAGCCAGCATGTAAATTAACTATGAAGATATGTAGATTCATTTTGGAACAGACTCAAGCTTATTCATTTGTCAGATGTGATTATAATGTATCTTAACAAGTTTAATAAAGTGTGCTGAAGTGGTGTCACTATGAAAGTATTCCCAGCGATGGCTGCATTGATGTGAAACAGTTCCCTGACTATTTTGATTTGATCAGAGCTATGCAGCTAGCTTCACATCAGGTATTTCCAGGCTTGATCACTCAGATTTCCATTAATTTTTCAAGCTTTTCTCTAAAATCTGCTTTATAATTTATTTAGTTGTTTCTTTGCTACAAAGAAAGCTGTTGGAAAATGAATGTCTTAGCTGCTTAAACATTTGGCTAGGTAAGGTTATTTACCAACTCACACAGGCAAATCCATGCAGTTAACTCATGGATGAAATCAGGCCTTTGAATGACAGATATCTCCATGGTCATTCATATGGACAGCTCTGAGGTTGCCTACTCTTTTCTCAGGCAGAAAAACCAGACTAGTCCACATTAGTGTGGTAACTGGTATGAAAATATTGAACAGAGCCCAGAATGATTGAGTAAGAGTCCTTGGCTGGTAGGGAACTTTGAGTTACAAAAGAGATGGCTCTGGAAAGCTCCACTGGGCAAAAGTGATGAGGTAGTACAAAAAGCAAGAGAATAAGTGTTTGCATGCTGATTTAGTAAACCTCTGACGGTGATTTTGTTTTAGTTTTCTTACAATATGACCAGTCTACCTTAGGACGAATGAAGTAAACTCTTTACAGTGCAGTGCCTTTCATAAATACACTTTCACAGTTGTGCCACTGATATCTGTGACAGACTCAGCTGGGGCTATGGCAGAGATGGGAGGAGGACTGGCTGTGGCTCCACTCACAGGGGCTGCCCTGAAGACCCAGTGCCTTCCCATGGATACCTGGTGCAGTGGTGAAAGGAAAGGTAGCAGAGGTGGATGTGATTAGGGGGGCAGAAAAACAATAGGTTACTCTTTGTGTTATAAACTGGTAGACATTTCAGACAAGCTTGTCATATGAAAGTGCCTTTGGAACTTACAATTACACTGATGAATGGTATGATAAAATTATCTTGTAAGAAAATATTTACTGTCCAAAGAAATTGCATCAGGTGGATTGGAGGGGAAGAACGCTACAAAACAGAATTTACAAGAGGGTGTGAGATGTGAAAGAGGAAGTTATTTTACCTTCCTGTATCTCATATTTCTGCCATGCACTCTCCCTTCCTTGTGCAGTCTTATCTTCTGCTTATTCTGTGTGAAGAATTTTATGTGCAGTTAATTCTGTGGACTAGCAGCTAGAATATTTTTGCAGTCTGCATGTATTTCCCAGAAGTGCTGGTATATGAAGATCTGGGAATAAGCCATTAAGATTTGTGAGGAACTTGTTCTTTGCTACAGGGTGTTGTAAATAACTTAAAATAATTTGGACTTAAGCAAAAAGGAATTAAGAAGTTGACTGGTGCTAATGAATACTAATGATTGTTGGAAACATGATCAATGTGAAGCACATATTATTAGTGAAGGTGCCCTTCTTAAACTTCATTAATCACCAAGATACCCACAAAACAACAAATAATACCTTGTTGTTTGGTAACAGCTAAAGGAAGAGCTGGTTTATAATAGGTGTTAAATTTTGCATTCCTGTCTCATACTGATGCAAAGCAAGTTTTCTTTAAGAATTTGTACTGGCATAAGTAAAAGATGTTTAGTGCCCTATTGGTGTTTCAGCATATGAATGAATCTGAATTGAATAAATGACTAATCCTGTTCAAGTCAATTTGGCAACATGAGAGTTTATAGCTAGCCATGTATTTAAATACAGGCCTCTAGGGCTTCTCCTATACGAGTAGAGCAAGGTTGTGACAGTGTACAGACAATGGGACTGTGCTTTTTTTTTGAAATCCCATATCATACAAAGATGCATCATCCTACTTTTCCCTAGTTAAACACAATCAACATAACATGAGTCTGTGAAGTTAAATGCTTGTTAAACATGTCTTAAAGCTTTAGCTGCTTTAGTGATCATAGTGGTGTTGCTTGCTGTTATATGCCTATTTTATTATTTTTATATAATCTACAGAGAGTTTTTGCGTATAAGCTTCGTCACTTCTGTGTTTCTTTCTCCTGCATGAATGAGATAATTTATTATTCAAGTTCCGTCTGAGCATCATTTTCCTTCATTTCCTCTTTCTCAATAGAAAAGAAGCAAATACTAAACAAACCCAAAAACATGTATTTTCTTAGAAAAGATTTTAAAGCTGTTTCAAATGACAAGAGGAGGAAAGTTTTTTGTTTCAGGCCCAAAGAAAGAGTTCTTGCAGTTGGCAACTTGTCTTCATTTTCTAACAATGTCAATCTATCAAATGGAATATGTAACCTCTTCCTGCCATCCTTGCAACACTTTTAGTGGCAGTGAAAGTGATCTTGTTATTAATGGAAATAGCTTTTTCATAGGGCCATGTGTTTATCTTCGTTCTGGGCATGTATTGAGTTTGTGAGAACAAGATTGGGGTTAATAGATTTAAAACAAAACCAAATCATTTACTGATAATTCGGGGCTACTATACAGGTGTGTATAAATAATGAACAGTAAAAAGGGTACAGCTATTGGTCTTTGTGATTGATTTTGTGCCTGAAGGGATAGTAATAAATGTACAGACATTATTTTGCTTTTTCTTGCAGTCATTTCCCTACAGATACTGTAACAGTATTAAAATCTTACAAAACAAACCTGTCATTGAGAATTGCACACTTTTAACAAAATGCCATACTGAAAGCTTGTTGAATGGGGACCTGGATTCTACCATTGTCCATCTGTTATTTTTCAGATCACAAGTTTTCAGTTTTCTTACTTTGCATCAGGTATTTCTCTCAACTAACTTTTTAAATGACAAAGCAAGGATTGTGCCAGGAAAGTTTTAGTTCCTTCTGATGTTCAAGTTGCTTCAGAAGTATATTTGAAACTTAACACTTGATTTGTATTAGTGGACTGTTGTCTTTTACTAATGACATTAATGAGAAGGTATGAATGTATAGCAGAGCTACTTTAACTTCTGTGTAGCAGTGCTTGAACTTAACAAAGCTAAGGAAGTGTTATTTCTAAGAATTTATAAACAAAAGTTTAATTATTTCCATTCAGATTTTTTTCTGTATTCCTGTATAGAGGAACCTTTTAGCTCAGTCCAGTCGATTGCTTCCTTTTACAATCTACAACTTGCAGTTAGCCCAGACTTGTCTCAATTTGTCTCAAACAAAATGTACCAAAAATTGTATTCAAAAGTATTTCAGAATGAGAAAATCGGATATTCTCATGTATGTAATGAGATTTGTGAGGTCTGAAGTAGTAAATAAAGGAATAATGTTAGCTTTAACACTATTAATATTTTAGCAGATACCGATTACTTTTATGATAGTGTTGCCTGTTACTAGAAATTGACATTTGAATACTCTTCTGTATTAAGATGATGAACTCTGTGTGCAACTGCAATAGGAAACGTTTTATGGTGGAATTGAAAGACTGGTAACTGTGCACCTCAACGCTCTCTGTGAATGATTATTGGCTAATAAATAGATCTGTTGTTAGGGTTACTACAGAGTGTCAAATGATTTCACAAACAAGAAGGCATGTAACTAGGTAAATATTAAAGTAAAAGAAAAAAAATACAAAAAAACCCACATCCTATTGTTTAATTTTGATGCATTAATTTTTGGAGTATTTTTAAGGTGTGGAAAGGGCTTAACCTAGATACCAGTACTGTTTTGCCTGTGTTTATAATGTATTTTTCACATTATTTTTGCACGAAGGAGAAAGGAAATAGTCGCTTGTAAGAAACAAAAACCCTCCCAATAGACTGGAATGTTGAATTATGAATTATGTCGTCTTTTTCCCAGGCAGTCAAAATAAATTCATTCTAAAGATAGATTTACTATGCAAAAGATTGCTTCATAGCAATATGGAATAGTGTGTTTTGGGAGAGTATAACTCTCTTGAATTATTATTCTACCCTGTCTTCTGCTTTATTGTATTCCTCTTTTCCAAATATCCTTGTTTCTCATTAGGCTGGTAGTTGTATTACTTAAGATATTGTTTTAAATAGTATAACACAGAGCTACAGATTACTTAGGAAATTGTTAGAAGATACAAGTTATTTCAAAACAAACAGAAATTAGAGATTTCTCTTTTTGTTCCTCCCTGTTTACCCTGTTGCATTTCTGATATCCTTTTCAGCAGTTTGTGACATCACCAAATTCAACCACATAACCTTGGTATTTGCAGTGTATTAACAGGAATGTTCTACATCAGAATATCTGAAATAGAGGATAGCATTTCATAATCTGTTTTCCTCCCTTCCCATTGCCATTGTTCCTTATCAATCTGTTGCAGTTGCAGAATGGAAGTCACAGTATTGGAAGTTATTTATAGTGAACTTTGTGAAAGGTCAAATACCTTAGGCTGTTTAGGTGTTTTTATTAACAATATTATTTCCTATTTTCATTCTGTTTGAGAACATGTCAAAATGCTATTTTTTTTACAGTGTAATATTTAGAAAAGAAATAGGTAGCTTTCTGATCTTTGCTTCATAAAATCTTTCATCACAGAAAAAAAACAGGGAACGGAACTAATTATTCCTTTTTACATCTTTGATCTGATTTTGTATTGAGCAGTCCAAACATGTTAGATTTAGTCAACATTATTTGTAAATGGTGAATTGATTAGTTGAGTTTGGAACTGGAATATCCCCAGGGTACTCAGATAAAGAAGAAACCTGTGAAGCTGGTATTAGAGGCTTAAGAACATAGAGAAGAACTTACTACTACACGTTTAATATCACAATTAACAGAACTACCAAAATACTATTTCTCAGCTTATGTCATAGAGGAGTTTACTTCCTGACTTTGGGGCAGAAAGCCTATGCACCACGATTCACAGCCCATCAACCATGTTTCTGATAGGTCCTAAATACTTTTGTTAAAACCAGATATGATCTCCTTCCTGTCACTCTGAGTCTTCCAAGAGAGAAGATCGTGGGGCACCCCATACTTCCATACAGAGATTCTGCAACTAGTTGTATGGTCACTTG